CTTTTTTTTTTTCAAGACAGGGTTTCTCTGTGTAGCCCTGACTGTCCTGGAACTAGCTCTGTAAACTGTGATGTCCTAGAAGTCACAGAGATCTGCCTGCCTCTGCCTACCTAGTGCTGGGATTATAGGCGTGTGTCACCACCTCCTGGCACACAATCTCTTTTGAAACCTTTTTGTTTTTCATTTCATTTTAAGTTAATTTTTATTTAAATTAAAAACAATCTTATCTTACATACCAATCCCAGTTCCCTCTCCCTCCCACCCTTCCATTCCCCTCACCAATCTCCATCCCACCCCCACCCACTCTTTAGGGGGGGTGAGGCCTCCCATGGGAGATCATCAAAGTCTATCACATCATTTGGGGCAGGATCTAGGCCCTCCCCTGTATATCTAGGTGGAGAGAGTATCCCTCCACAGGGAATGGGCTTCAAAGCCAACTTGTGCTCTAGGGATAAATGCTGGTTTCACTGCCAGTGGCCCCATAGATTAAGTCCCCCCAACTAACACCCACATTTAGGGGGCCTGGTTCAGTTCTATGTTGGTTCCCCAGCTGTCAGACTGGGGTCTGTGAGCTCCCATTTGCTCAGGTCAGTTGTTTCTGTCGATTACACCAGCATGGTGTAATCTTGACCCCTTTGCTCATCACTCCTCCCTCTCTACAACTGGATTCTAGGAGTTTGAAACCTTTCTTATCTGTCCTTTGAACTCTAGCTTTTTCAAAGTCTCACATTTTCTAATTCTCCATATCTGAGGAAATTTGTATCTCAGTTGTAAAACTGATGACATTCCTCTATCTATATGTGCAGCCTACTAGACGTAACAGGAAGAGGGAAATCAGTCAAAGGAAGAGGTAGGGAGGGAGGGAAGGGAAAGGGGGAAGGAAGAGGTGGTGAGAAAGAGAAATGATGGGAAACCAGTATTCCCCCAAGCTGGCCTAGTTTTCCTGTGGCTCACAGAAGTGCTGTCTGGAATCCAACTGCCCTCTCTACAATCAGGCTGAGAGATTGCAGAATTCAGCTTCTTCATTCCCACCAGCAGCCCATTCACGCAGGGGAAATGAGAGAGAGAAAAAAAAAATCATCTTGGCACCAGTCACTATAGGTGCATCTGCCTTTCTTTGTCCTGGCTCTTCAAGCCATCTTTCTCACTAGAAATCAGCTTCTGAGACCAATGGGAACATTGAGGGCCAGGCCAATAAAGACATTGCAGGTTTCATACGTTCTGTGATTTCACTCTATACTGATAAACTAGCAAGGCACTAGAGGCTATCAAACTGTTGGGGAAAGAAGGAAAAGGCAGAGTTCCATGTGAAGGCAGAAAATTCCCCAGCGAGTCCAGTGCCAGGGTTACCAGAAACAATATACCCATCACCCTGCACCTCTCTCATGGCATGCCAAGAGAAACTGGCTGGCCTATGGACTTAAACAGATGTCCTGAATGTGCAAACTGAACCCATTAGAAGTAGAGATGGTGGTGGGAAATGTTCTACAAGTCCAGTTTGGATTTTCTTATCTGAAGGCCAAAATTAGACCCCAACTTTCAAATCTGTATTTCAGACCTTCACAGTATAGCACTAACTGTGCTAGCTAGGACCATGTAAATTACTGTATCAGTGATCTGCTGCAGGTTCAAATCTCAGCTCTCCCTGGATGGATGATGGCCATCAATGCCCTACTTATTTATAAATAGTGATTTTAGACCTATATAATACACATAATGGACTCAATGAATCAGATCATTGTATAGATATAATGCATTTTGCACACAGTACCTGTGAGATAAGGAACATTGGGTGTATCACCTATAATGATGCTGTCATTATGGTGATTTTCTGACCAATAATGAGCATCTATGCTGCAAATTCTTAATTTGTCTGGAAAAAAAAAGCTTGATGTAGGATCAGATTTCATCTATCCAATCTAATCTTAGTGTCAGTGCAGTATAGGAACACTCATAAAACATTTCTAGAATAGGACAGACACTGAACAATCAAACAACCCACCCTCACCCCTAGGATATATCTAGAAGTCCTCTAGAAGTAGACAGCATTTCATCTTACATTGTTTCCATCTGCAGCAGGTCTTCCAAACACTCTGCTTCCTCAGAGAAACCATTCACTAGGCCGGCCACCATCCATGACAGTTACC